GCAGACGGGCTGCTCTGTGAGGCTCTCCAGCTAGGATCCTGCTCCGGTCCCCAGCTCCCAGGCGGCAGCAGCACCACTTCCGTGGGCACCCCAGGAGGCCCTGAGTGCCATGGGGGACAGAAGCCTTTGGCCAGGCCCCCCGCATGGCTGGCTCTGTGTTGTAGTCTGATCGCTGTGCCTCCCGGAAATGCAGACGGAGGCCACCAGAGCAGCTCAGCTTTGCATCCTGACAAGGCAGCAGCTGGGCGAATCCACAAGCCGCAGACCATGAGAGGAGAAACCTGGGTTTATTCAGAGACCCCTTCCACACGTGGTCTTACAAGGTTACCCTTTCGTGTTAACCTCCAGAGCAATCCTGGCCGTCCTCCCACTTGGAGAGCTGCACCTCTCAACAGCTTTTATCCATTTATATGAATACATATGCCTCGGGGAGTCAGACTGGGGAAACACCAGCATAAACCACTTCTTAAAACAGGGAGAATACTGGAATCAAAGGTAACTTCGCTAATTAGTCAAACCTTTCTGCATTTATGGGAACATGGGTTTCGTCCCTTTGAGGTTAAGTTTGCAAATGTGTATCAACTATCTAATTTTAGGAGCAGACTTTTATTGGGGAATTGTAACATAATACCCAGAGTTACCAGTCCATAGAGGTAATTGCTGAAGAAATAATTTAATACATTGTAAATCCCTCTATTCCCATCCCTTCAAATGAGATGCCAAAAGCGATTAAAGACTAAAAACAGACCACAAGCAAATTCACATGAGAACCTGCTGTAATCACTCGGCTGGATTAACCAGGGTTTGGGGCCTCTGCTGTGCGGCTGGCCGGAGTTCCCTCAGCCGGCCAAGGTGAGCTGAGGCTGGTTGTGCATCCCACCCACTCTTTTAGGAAAACAGCATTTGTCCTTTATCAGGGGGTCCCTCTCCTTTTAATGTCCCCACCCTGCAAGGGAAGGGGACGTGTGCATTGGGATGAGCAAGCGTCTGCACTGACTGGGAGGCTCATTCGCTTCCTCATTTGGAAAAGAAGTCTCCAAGGATCGTAGAGATACCTGGTCAGTGAAGAGAGATCCTTGTCTTGGGGACGAAATCAACAATTGGAAACAGCTGGAAGCAATGTGGCTGGTCCACGAGTCTGCTGACAACCCTTATGCACTGACTACATGGGGGTGTGTTGCTAGGGAACCTCCCCGGAGGGGGTGGTGGGGGCAGAGCTAGGTTTGGGTAGAGTTCTGCCCTTGGAGTTTGGGCACCAAACTCTATTACAGAAAATTAGGGGTACTGTTTTAGGGGAGCAAATTTCCTAACTGGGGAAAAACAAAGATCCCTGGATGTTAAGTATCTGGGTACCATCGAAACCCAAAGTCCTGAGGCCTCTCACCAAGCAGATGGGAAACTCGCAGCAGACGGTTTGGTTTTGGGTAGACAGAGTAACAAGTTGAGGGGCTGCCCTGCTTTAGTTACTGACCACAAGGCATCAAAACCCCCAGAGGCATGGAAGAGACAAGTCTGCTGTGGGTGGCTTTAAAGAAAGGAAGAGAGGGCAGCCGTGTCTGTCCTGGGGTGCTCCCTCATTAGCTAAACCACAGACACCCCTCCTTGTTTAGTAATCTGTGCATCCCCCATTTCCACTCGGCAAGCTGGGGGTGCCCTGGGGAGAGCAGGTGTGTGAGCATCTGCATTGGTGGACACACCGGTCAGTGAGTGAAAATGGGGTGTAGGACCCTGGCCAGGCTACCAGCCTCTCCTGACTCGGCAAGGGACCCCTATGGGGCCACCTGCCCCAGCACCCATGAGCTGGGCCTCACAGTCTCATAGCCTGGGCTTGAGGGAGGCTTAAGCCTGCAAGTTGCTCAAGCAGCGGCCAGCGTGGCTGGACCCTTCATTCATGAGGTTAATAGAGGAAGAAGGCTGTGTTGGCTTCAAGATAACCCCTTGGCCAGAGTGGGAAGGACCCAGGGTTGTCCTACACTGGCCCCCCAGGCTTGGGTGTGGCTGGCCAGCATGTGGAACTGGTGACATACAGGTAGACATACAGCCACCACTGCTTGGACAATGGCTCTTCTGCCTGTCCCGGCCCCAACTAAACTTGGTGAGTGACAAGCACAGGACGTTTCCTATTTGTCTAGCTCTAGAATTTATTCTAGAACCAGTTATTGTTAAAACAAAGGCACTTCATATGCTTTGCATTTTCACAGTCTGGAGCTGTGATATCCTCAGGGCACATGTGGCCGCTGAGCACCAGCAATAGGCTGCTCTGAACGGGGACGGCTCTAAGTGCAAGACACGAGGGATTTGGAAGACTTAGTACAAACAAATGCAAAAGACTTTCCTAATAATTTTAAAATACTGATTACATGTTGAAACGATATTTTGCATATTTGGGATAAATAAAAGTTATTAAAATTCATTTCACCTGTCACTAGAAAACGTAAAATCCCACACGTGGCCGGCACTCTTTGTAGGGGACAGCCCTGGTTTAAAAGGCTGTTGTTAATATCTGGGTCTCGGTCCTGGAGTCATGTCCCCAACAGCAGGTGCATCTGCCTTACCTAAGACAGATCTAAAAAATGAGTGCCTTGGAAAGGCCATTTCAAATCTGAGTTCAAATTTCAAATTCAAAACCACGAAGCTCTTTCCTGTCATTCCTCCCGCAGTGCTGGAGACATTTGAGCTCGGGTGGACGGGTGCGTGGCGGCTCTTTTCACACTGACCCACAGCAAATCCTGCCACCCTGCTGGAGCGCAACCCTCGAGCGCCAGCAGCAACCAGAGCCCCCAGCAGATGTTCCAGAGCCTGGGCTTGAAACGGGCATCTCTTGGGGGTGGAGGTCAGGCCTTTCTTGCTGGGAAAGCTCCCCAAGGTTGGGGCTGTCTTAGAATGGGGAGCTTGCTGTGCAGACTGGTGAGAGGCCAAATGCATTTATTCTGATGAACCAGCTTGATTGATTAGTGGCGCTCTTGAGACCTGCCTAACTTCCCTTTAAAAAACTATCCACTCAACAACCCCAGTGCAAAGCTGGGACAACAGGAGATAAACAGCTTTGCAATTAAAAACAATTTTAAATTCAACTTTTACTTAGAGGACATTATTAGAATGGTTTATGATTAGTTAAATGGTTCTTTTAAAATTTATTTTTCACCCAAGAAGAGGCAGGATTTTTTTTTTCCTTCACCTTTTCCTGATTATTTCATATATTTGCTGACTGGCTGCTTACAGAGCATGGAGACGTTTTTTATAAAAAACACTGACTTAGGAGCACATGGCCCAAGCTGACACAACTATCTGAAAACTGAAATTATGAGTTCAGTCACAAATGAACACTATTTCATTTGATGTTAAAATTTAATCACATTATTTAAATAAGTTGAAATCAAATACTTTATTCTGAATATAAACGAAGCACTGAACATGTGTGGTTTTAACCAGAAGTAACTCTGTTTCGGATTATAAGTAATTTGCAAAGTTGATCAGGGTCACTTTGAAATGACCCCCAAGGTGAATGACCTTGACTTTGAGGTTGTCCTGTCCTCAGTTAAGAGGATATTTGAAACATAGTGTCCCACACTCAGCTCTTTGAATGTGCAAAACTGTTAAACTAGACCGTTAGGGAAAAAAGACAATGAGAAAATGAAAATGGAAATTAGCAGAAGCCAGTATTAAGCATATGTCTTTATGAATAAGACTTAATCACACACTTCATTTTGCAAATACAAAAGGGCCTTTTGAAATGTATTAATTAAAGTTAAATGCTATAGACAGGCCGCTTTGTAGGGCGGCGGTCCTCTCCCCATTAGCATAGCATTAACGACAGCCAAGGAAATTGGGTTAATAAAGCCGGATATTGTAGCCGAGCGGCTGGGGCGCAAACTGGCGCGGACAGCTCAGCCCCCAGGGCCGCCGGCCCGGCTGTGGACGACGAGGGCCCGACGGTGGCAGAATTCTGAGCCACGCACCGACGGAAAAGAAACAGACGCCATCGTCATTCGCACCGGTCGGGGCACGGGGCCCCCACCAGCATACTCACCCGTGGCCCCGGCCCCCTCCCCCGAAAACGTGCGGGGGGTGGGGTGGGGGGTGAGGAGGGGCTTTGCCGGTCACCAGGGCTAGACTGGGCCCTCCCTTGACACCCCAGAGCCAGGTGGGGGCGCAGACTGTGGGGACTCCTCCTCCATGCAGCCGCCTTTAAGCAGAGGGCGTGCGATAGTCTCCATTCAAATCCATCAGGGCCCCGCCTCGGCGGGACGTTACGGCGGGGGCGGTGGTGGCTGGGGAACCCAGGGGTTGTTCAGGGACAAATTCCTCAGACTTGGAGCCAGCCAGCGTCGTCGTCCACTCACCCCTAGGGGTTAGCACCTCTAGTGAGGCAAGAAAATAAACATAAACTCAGACTTGGGAAAGCTGAAAAGCCACTTCCCGTGGTCTTCTTGCATCCGCAGTCAAGCTCCTTTGCAAACAGCCGCGGGCCAAGCGGGGGCGCCCAGGGCGGATCAGTAGCCGGGGCGCAGATTCTTGGAGCCGGCAGAGGCGGGAGGTGTCGGGAGCCTGGTGACCTCGGAATCACGTCCACCCAGCGTGGCCTTGCCGTTTGGCAAGAGCGGCAGACGGGGAGGAGGGTGGGGCGGCAAAAAGGCACCCCAACGCGAAGACCACGACCCGCTCAGCAGCGTCCTCTGTCCTTGCGCTCCGCGAGCCCCGGGCTGGTGTCAGGCAGGACCACCCGCCCCGGGTCGCGCCAGTCCTCGCTCCCGCTGGGGCCCTGTTTTCTTTTCGAGGGTGAGCAGCGGTGCCCAGACGAGCACTGTTGGTCACTCCCTTCCCGTCCCCAGACTCGATGGCTGTGGGCGTTGGGAGGGTGTCCAATGGGCGCCTCGGACTCCCGGGTGTGGGTTCCAGTGCCCGCTTTCTGGCTCAATCTCGCGCTCAGGTGGCCGGAAGCTGTTCCGCGCGCAGGGGCTGGAAACGCGGTAGGGCCACCTTCTCCCCATGGGCGGGGCGACACAGTCGTGGGGACAATGTTAAATGGAGGACGCGTTCGGAAGGAGGGAGCGGCCCGGGACCCCTACGGCTTCTCGTTACAGTGTTTGCAAAGCGCCGAGGGCGTCCCGGAGAAGGCGGCGCACTTGTCCGGGCAGGGCAGCGCGGCGCCCGCAGAGAAGGGGTACACCGCGGCCTGGCTGAAGGGCGTCAAGGGCGCGGCGGCCACGGGCGCGGCCAGGCCCTGGCCCTGGTTCAGGTAGGCCACCAGGCGCCGCATCTCGTCCAGGGCCTGCGCCTGCATGAGGATGTAGTTCTTGGCGAGCAGCAGCGTGGCGATCTTGGAGAGCTTGCGCACCGACGGGCTGTGCGCGTAGGGGATGACGGCGCGCAGCCCGTCCAGCGCGTCGTTCAGGTCGTGCATGCGGCGCCGCTCGCGCGCGTTAATGCTCAGCCTCAGCGAGCGCTGCTCCCGGGGCCGCCGCCGCGCGTCCGCCGCGCCCCCCGTCCCGCGCCGGCGCCGCTGCTCGAAGGCGTCGTCCTCGTCGCCGCTCTGCTCGCCGCTGCTCTCGGCCGCCGCGGCCGGGGGGCGGGGGGCGGGCGCCGCAGAGAGGTCACCTCCCAGGTCCGGCGCCCCGCAGCCGCGGGCCGCTTCGGGCCCCCGTGCCGCCCCGAAGGCGAGGCCCGCCGCCGCGTAACGGTGGCTCAGCGCCAGGTACGCGTCCCCGGACAGCGACTTGAGCTCGGCCATGGCCGCGCCGCCGGGGCCGCCGCCTCGGTGCTGCTCCCGGCTCCTCGCGTCCGGCCGGCGGTCTGCGGGTCCCCGAGCCTCCGCACGCCGGCCTCTCAGGCCCGCCTCGGCCCCGCCTCCCGACCGTCCCCGCTCCGTCTCCTCCCCCACCCGCCGCGGCGTGCGGGGCTGGGCCCGGGGCGGGCTCCCGCGCCTGCCCGCCTCGCCGCCGTTTTAAGGTGCGGAGGCACCGCTGGGCCTTCGCGTTGTCCAATCAGAGCGGACCTGGTGACCGCCTCTTCCCGGAGCCGGGCTCCGCGGGCTGCGCAGACCGACGGCCAGAGGTGGGGGGAGCGCAGGGATGGAGCGAGCTGGGGATGTGGATGGAGATGCTGTGTTGGGGCTGTAGAACCCAGGAGCGCTTTACTGCTTCTCGGTGACACCCCCTGCTGCCTCCTGCCACCCCCTGGGTTGTCACCTCCCCAGGTGTCATCACGTGGACACCCGCCTCAGTCCGCCTGGACCTGGGTCCTTCTCGCAGGCTCGCCTCCGGCGTCGCGCAGGAGACGGAGCAGGGAAGCGCAACACACCGCGGACACTGAGCAGGTGCGGAGCACACGCCCGGTGACCACCTTTTGGGTCCTGGGCGTGCAGCCCCTGGTGGGCTCCCTCGGCGACCCGCTGCACAGCCGGTAACTGGAGGGGCAAACGGCACGCCCCTGGCACTCTGTGGGCAGAGGCGCTGGACCTCTCCTCCAGGTCCCACCAGGGAGGGGAAGAACAGATGATCCGTGAGTTGCCAGGTGCTTGGGGAGGGTGAGTAGGTGCCCTCACCTTTGTGGCGTGAATGGCTAATAGCCCGGCGCTCTCCGGAAGGTTCTAGAAATCCAGCAATAACTGGGATGCTGGCCTTTCAGGGCTTCCACGCTGGTGTGAATTTTGGAGGAGACAGCAATCCCGGAAAACACCAGATTTCCCTTGCTCCTGGCCCTGAGGAGACCCGAGCGAGTGAGCAGCAGGATGCACCGGCCAGCATGTCTGCCTGCACCGGTGGCCTGGTGGACAGCCTGCGTGCACCTCCAGGAGGGCAGCCCTCACTCACTAGCGCGTCCTGGCGTGGAATGCAGGTGCACACATCTTTTGCAAAGATGAGAAGGGTCTGGGTGAAGCCCTTTCCAGGAGGGGCCCCTGGACTGCATGCATCCTGGGCTGAGGTCAGGCACAGGCAGAGTGATGGCGAAAGCCTGGCATGCTCTGAAGGGTGTCAAGTTAAGGGGCTGAGGTGGGGAGCACTTTGGAGGCCCAGACCTACATGCTGTCAGAAGTAGTGTGACACGTTGTAGGGGCAGCAGGAGCCCGGGGATGGGGGGCGGCCACGATGGGGAGTTGATGGAAAAGCAGTGGCAGTCACTGAATGCTCAGGGAAGCATTTTCAATGCTGTGGTCAGGAACTTGGGGGGCGCTTCCCCTTGGGTGTCTCTCCAGGCCTGGCAGAGCTGGGGGGGGGGAGGTTGCAAAAGGGGACATGGGGACAGATGGACCAACTCCACAGGTGCTCTGAGGCCGACGTGAGCAGTGGGGACCAGAGGGGGGCTGGGCCAGATGACCTCCTGCCTCTCAGACTCAGGACTGTAGGGAGACCAGGGTTGAGGAGGGTACACTGTGGAAAAATTGAGTGTGGGGACATTTGAACCACCTAGAGAAGTGTCCAGCAGGCATTTGTGGGGACGTGGGACTGTTAGGTGGGGCCCAGTTGAAACTACAGGCTGGATGAGATTGGCTTTCAAGACAAGGCCTGGAGCAGAGCACTGTCCCTGGCTGCAGGTCAGCATCACCTGCGGAGATTAAATTACAGCCAATATGTGGGTTCCAGCCCAGGGATCCTCGCGCTGGCGGTCATTGGTTTACCTGGTCATTGGATGTCTAAACTCCAGGACCCGGGAGCCAAGGCTCTGGGCCAGTTTCCAAATGTCCAGGTAACCAAGAACCTTTAACAGCTCAGGGAAGGGCTGGAGGCAGGGGTGGGTGTGAGGACCAGGGCTGGCCTGCGTCTGGAGTGGGGGACCATGAAACCACCTCTCTGGAAGGCCCACCTGTAGGTGGGAGTCACGGTCCAGCATGGGAAGAACCAGGGCACAAATCTTGCCAAAAGGCGGGAGCTGCATGGTTTTTTGGTCAGACGCCGCCACCTGCTGGCCGCCTGGGAGATTGCGTTCCACCGGCGGAACCCGCTGGTGGTTGTAGCGCGCCTGGTTAAAATGCACATTCTCAGGGCCCTCCGTGTCTGCCTGGTGGGTAGTGAAGAAACCTAACATGCCAATCACTGAAGTTCCTGTCCTGGGGTTCCGTTCTGCCCTGTGTGTATGACCTTTAGGACCCGGCCTGGAGTCCCAGCTAATGAAACTGACAAGCGTCTTGGTCCACTTTCGCCACCTCTGGGTCCCTTTACTGTCACGGGCAGGACAGCTCTGCATGACTTGGGTCAGCCTCCCTGGGCCTCAGTTTCTGCACCTGTAAATCAGGTGTCTTCCTCACGCCTGCGGTCTGATAGCAGCCCCCAGGGGGTGGACCTGCCACTAAGGGCTCGCCCTGGGATGTGGTTCTGCGCCAGTGGTCCTCTTGCCTTCCCAGAAGCCACTCTGCCATGCACCGTGGTCCCTGCGTGTGGCCCACCCTTCTGCCGCGGCCTGGCCTGTGACAATCAGGTGCCATGGCCCACGTGAGCGCCCAGTGGGCACAGTGATACTGTGAGCTGCTAGCCCTGTCTTTACCCCCACGGTGCTCCTTTCCATCCCTCCCGCTCCGTTGGGTCAGAGCTGGGCAGGTGCTTCCCCATCTCCTGGCCCGACCTGTCGGAGGCAGAAGTGGTGTTCACCCGGCTTTGCGCTGGCCTGCCGCTCCGGTACTTTCTGGTCTCCAGCGCCTGGCACTCTCCTGCCGCCCCCTCGATGAGCCTCCTTGGGGATGGGTTTGGACTGAGCCCCAGGGCTCAATCCCACTCCCTTAAACCCCAGTCCAGCCCGCACTTGGGATGTTTCCGTTGTGACTGCCTCTTTCCCAGGTCCATCCTAGTGAAAGGGGCAGCGTGAACCAGACAAACGTTTTTACTGTCAACCCAGGTTCTGCTGAGTTAGGAGGGAAAGGACAGCCACGACTGAGAAGACGAGGGCCGTTGGTGTGCACAAGACGCCCGAAAACTTGCTCCTGGTAGATGGCAGAGCCCGCCTCCTTGGGTGCCGCCCCGGCCAGGGCAGCTCACCGAGGTGGTGCCACCTGGTGGTCGTGGGAGACGCTTACAGCCGAGTTGGCCCCTAGTTTCAAAGTTGAGCAAATATGAGTGACTTTTAAAAACAATGGGATGGATAGATGGATGGATGGAAGGATCGACGGACGGACGGATAAGAAAAAAGACAAAAAACAGGCTGGAGATCAGAATTATTTCACATTTTCCACATAAGATGTGCTCTGGAACAATGTGAAAATTAGTGCAGCATAGACATGTTAATTAGTGCAAAATGCTGCCACTTCGCACAAACACACACGCAGCATCTCCCGACGAGACAGACATGGCTGTGCGGTTGCTGACACACAGGGAATGCACCCCCTGGGAACCGGACCAGGGGCTCTCGTACCCCACACTGCTGGGGCGCTGTCATCACGTGTCACCAGCTGGCAGGGCATCCGGCAGGAAGCAAGCCTGCATTGGCCTGTAGCTGGAAGTTCAGCCAGTGAGAGATTTGATGTTGTCGTTAGTAAGATCACAAGACCCAGCACGCTGGGAATGAGGCAGGACGGGCTCAGAATTTGCGGGGCTGGAACAAAATAAAAATGCAGGCCCCTTGTTCAAAAACGAAGAATTAAGCCATTAACCCTTAGAGCACAGGTCGTGGAGTGACGGCCCAGTCCCCTGCCCATGACTCTGGCTTCTCAGGGTTCTTGCTGGAACTGGACTTTCCAGGGCCCGGAAGCCCTGGGTTTGAGGCCTGGTCCAAAAGGAGCTCCCAGGGCCTGCTTCAGGTTTGGTCATGGACAGGTCTTTGTCGGAGCTTCCTGTTCAGCTGCCTTCCAAGTGGCCTGTGGAATCTTTCACGCAATGGGGAAAAAAATCCAGCCACTTCAGTCCCAGTGGAGCAGACTCCCACGAGTCCACTTGGCGGGACGATGCCCATGGGGAACCCCTGCCCTCACGCTCCTGCACCGTGTGGCTTGTGTGTATAATTCACATACGGCACAGTCACCCGCTTTAAAGTGCACAGTTCAGCAGCATTTAGTGCGTCTGCACACTGCACAGCCGTCACCTCTGCATACTCCAGAGCGTTCTCATTGCCCCTAAAGGAGATGCACCCCCATTAACAGTCACTCTCCAGCCCCAACCCCAGGCACCCACCAGTCCACCTTCTGTCTCTGGATTTGCCTGGCTAGGACCTTTCATGTAAGTGGGACCCACAACATGTGTGTGGACAGCATGCCTTTTGAGCAGTCTCAACATTTTCACCTAAAATCAAACCCGCGGAATCAGTCAGGCCCAGACCTCTCCACCCAGGGCCTGGTCCCCCTGAGAGTCCGTTTATTAATATGGTAATTTATCCAGCGACTGCCTGGCGATGCTAATTGATGCCATCATTAATTCTGCCTTTCCCTGTGAGGCAGATGGGTCATTTCTGTGGGGAGGACGTCATGTTCTTTTGCTAATTTTATGACTCCCTCGGTGTGTGTGCGCCCCTCCCCACCGGGTCCCCCCTTCCCCTTTCAGGAAACAAGCACAGGGAAATGGGGGAGGCACGGTGTTTGGTTGCTGGTAGGGCACTGGCGGGAGCAGTCGTCCCACAGCACCCCCCCAATCCCGTGCACCCACTCTCCAGGGCTCCACCCACCTGGTTGTCCCAACATGGCATGAAATTAAAGTGCAATGTTACAGCAGAATTTCCATTTTTCTCCATCCTCTTCCTCTGATGGGGAAGGGGTTGGGCGGCCTCTGCACCCTCCCTCCTCCCAACACTCTGGACACCCCTTGCCTGGCCTGACTGAGC